ATCTCTTGAATTTTGGTCCATCATTGCTAAAACTGAGCTTCTTGTTCCTAAAAACGATAGCAATTTGTGCCATAAGTCCCAATTTTTTACAAAGTTCTCTGTCAAATAAGTTCAAGTGAATTTAACAAAATACCTGAAGAATCTTACTGGTAGATTATGTGGAGATGGTTTGTAATCCAGAGACCGTAACAGTACGGGGTTTACGGTTTACTCCGAATAAGGCTCATAGAATTATTTGAAAAATTTCTCGTAAATCCGTTTTGCTGTTAACCTGTGTTTGTGTAACAATAGCTGCACATAATGCTTCAGTAACTAGGCTACGTTTTTATCCTTGTGTTGCTTTTACCGTTGTGTCTGGTGATGGTTTTTTGGTGACTGAAGCTCCGAATAAAATGAAGTGACCTCCGAAACCTGGAGAAAGGCTTTCCCATAATTTGCACAAAAGGTAGGAGAATTAGCTAGCTCGTGTATTCGAAATTGGTCAGAGCCAGCCAGCTTCGCTTGTAGGCAATCCTCTGGTGGTCAGTTATCGTAAATTCCAGTCAGCGGTCGTACCAGCGAATGATATCAGCTATAAAAAGTACTGCCAATTGGGCAGCAGTGAGGGCGTCCACCATTTCTGCGTGTGACGTGCAGTGAGTTATTGAGTCCGATAGGTGCGAAATCTGCCAGCCGAGAGCAGGAGTGCCACTAACGGGATGCAGTTTTCCTGTAAAAAATTAGAAATCGGTGGCGGCCAGAGCTCCAGACTTGGCATGGATTTAGCTAGCACTTTCGGTTTCACCGATAAAAGCTCCAGTTTCAGCGAACAAATTTCAGCGATGCGACTGCATCGACAAAAAGCAGTTGACGTAGGCAATCATGGAAGAGGAGGAGGAGAGGCGCCAGTGGCGCCTGCCACGGCCGTGGCCGCGCAGACGTGCACCGCAACAGCGAATACATTCGATGCACTGAATGTAGAACATTTTGATGCTCTTAATGAATCCCTACTCTTGGGCAATATTCTTCGTCTTGCGGGTAAATTGAAAATGCACTGCATAGCCTTCGTTTCTTTTTTCTCTCGGGAATTTTTTCGCCTCATTTCCAGGTTCTCCATTTTTATTGCACCATGCTCCAGTCGAAAACTTGTTTAGTTTGCATGTTACTGCTAGAAGTTATGATGCGATTGCATGTTTCTGC